TATATATATATATACATGTTTAAATTCAATTGTGCTTATATACAGAACGTAATAGAAACCGTTCGAGACGGTATCTAGAGCTATAACTCCCGAGAAGTGCCTACTCTCATGAAGCCTTCAGAATTATACATGTATATGGCGCTGGCCACAGAATACCCCAAGAGTTTATACGGCTTCTGCAGGGCCCCCCCCCCCTCCATGTTGCTTGTTGGATAGTTAGCAGGTTTAGGGCTTCTTACTGTAGGGGTCCAAGAAGGTTGTGGTTTAGGGTTTAGGGTTTAGGGTTTAGGGTTTCGTGGTATGTAAGGTATGGTTTACAGGCAAGAAATAGCAACGGCCCACGATTCATGAAGCAAAGGACCCAATGTCAGCACCCCTTATAACCCTTATTCCTCTATTCAGAGAGGTTCATCAATTCGGGGTCTACATTAATCATGTGCTGAGACCATCGTCGTAACACCTACAACTCACGAGCCCTCGTAGATTAGCGCCAGTTTCAAAACTATAGAAGCCCAAAGAGTTGGTAATAGTACCAGGGCTCCTTGTTGCAATTCTCGATTCTAGTACACTATGCTCCAAAAGCCTACTCCAATTCTTAGGGACCCCTCCGCACTTCTTCCTGTAGCCGCAGCAGGAGCGGGAAGCAATTCCCACACTCCTAAGCCCTTTGGTCCAGGCCTACTCTCAACTCTACCGCTGTCCGGATTCTCATTCGGTGCCTTGATTGCAGTCCGGTTGGGTGTTTTGTGGGTCAGGGCATGGAGGCATTAGAAGACGACGAATGAACCTTCGATTTACTAGGTCCGAAATTTTCAAACAGCACCCCGGCTCTAGTATATCAGAGGCTACATGCTCAAGCCGGGGTCAGCGTATCTTGTTAACCGGTATCCTGCGCCAACAGTTTTAGAGGTTAGATTTCAGGGGTAATCGTGGTAGGACGAAAGTTTGACCCTCTCGCTTCTCACTGTGATTTATGTTAGAGCCCCTCGCTGGCCTCCTGGTGAACAGACCACTGCTCCGAAAAAATGCCATGTCACTTGATGTTTTGTATCCGCTACTCTACAGGTGGTCTTGTGATAGGAGGATCAGTTGTGTCCTCCCGATGCGCGCCTAGGGTTTATGCATTATGCGCTACTTATACAAGGTCAGGAGGCTTGTGCTTATAGTATAGTAAGTATTATTATTGTCAAAGCCACTACTTCTACACCGACAAACCGTAAACCCCTTGGGCTGGGCTGGGCTGGGCTG